GAGACTACAGGGCCGAGGCTGGTGGGTGGAAATAGGGAACCAGCAGAGAGCTGCCAGGACTTGCGAGGAAGAAAGAGGAGGTGGTGTTTATTTAAAAACTTTTTTTTTTTTTTTTTTAAAGAGAAAGCCCTTGGGCTGCTCCCAGTGGTCAGTGGTCTCTATTCCTTCCTGGCCCAGTAGGATAGGGCAACCCGGCCATGGCTGCTGAGGTCGGAGTAGGGGGTGGTCAGCAACTCTGCTGGCTCTCAGAGAGAGAAGCCGGCCTTTAGGAGAGGCCAAATGCTTTTGGTGCCCAAGTTTTTTTTTCAAGTATTAAATGTGAGGTTCAAGCCAACTGATCTGAGGCCTTACAAAGGATACCTGAGCCCTTTTTGAGGTTGGGGCTGCCCAAAAGGAACATTCTTCCCTTTCTCGATGGGGTCTCTCTCCAGGGCTATCTCCTATCTCCTATCTCCCTAAACTCCCCATGTCCCTGGGGAGATAAGCCAGGTAGGTATTACTGTTATTTTTTTTTTTTCTCATTGTAAAAATTACAGAAAACTTGCCATTTTAACCAGTTTGGGGGACAAAGAATCACAGATACCTTTTTATGCTAGGCAATGCATTCCTCACATAGAGAATATCACATTAACTTCAACATGTCCAATCATTTCGGTATGTTGGAAGGATAAAATGGGATGATGGCTTTGAAGCTAGTTTGTGTAAACTTTAAAGTTCTAGAATAGGGCACCTGGGTGGCTCAGTTGGTTAAGCGACTGCCTTCGGCTCAGGTCATGATCCTGGAGTCCCGGGATCGAGTCCCGCATCGGGCTCTCTGCTCGGCAGGGAGTCTGCTTCTCCCTCTGACCCTCCTCCCCCTCATGCTCTCTGTCTCTCATTCTCTCTCTCTCAAATAAATAAATAAAATCTTAAAAAAAAATAAAGTTCTAGAATATGTTGAATACTTATAAATACCAAGAAGAATACACTATTACCTGTCATGTCCCTCAGCCTTCTTCCCCCACAACGATGGGGTGGAGCAAGACCTGTATGTCAACGTAGAATTAGGCTCTTTGAGGCCTTTAATTGAGACACTTAACGATTTTAATGTGAGTGCTTTTACTTTAGTAGCCGGCATGCAATTTTTAAAAACTATGGCAAAATACCTATCACTTAAAGTTTACCATCGTAACCATTTTTTCTAAAGATTTTAAGTAATCTCCACACCCGACGTGGGGCTCAAACTCCAACCCTGAGATCAAGAGTCGCACGCTCCACCGACCAAGCCGGCCGGGAGCCCCTCATCTGAACCATTTTTTTTTTTTTTAAGATTTTATTTATTTATTTGACAGAGAGGGATACAGTGAGAGAGGGAACACAAGCAGGGGGAGTGGGAGAGGGAGAAGCAGGCTTCCTGCAGAGCAGGGAGCCTGATGTGGGGCTCGATCCCAGGACCCTGGGATCATGACCTGAGCTGAAGGCAGATGCTTAACCGCCTGAGCCACCCAGGCGCCCCCATCTGAACCATTTTTAAGAGCGCAGCTCAGCGGCCTTAAGTATATTCACAATTTTGTGCAACCATCACCACATCCATCTCTAGAGTCCTTTTCATCTTCCTCAGCTGAGACTCTGCACCCATTAAACACACATTCGCATTCCTGTCTCCCCCCAGCCCCTGGCAAACGTCATTCTACTTTCTGTCTCTATGCATTGGACTCGTCTAGGTGCCTCATGTAAGTGGAATCATGTAGTCTTTGACCTTTTGTGACTGCTTTATTTCACTTAGCAGGTCTTCAAGGTTCATTCATGTTATAGCATGTGATAGGATCTCCTTCTCTTTTATGGTTGAATAATATTCCCTTGTGTGGGTAGACCACGTTTTCTTTATCCATTGGTCCATCGATGGACACTTGAGTTGTTGCTACCTTTTGGTTGGTATGAATACTGCTGCTGGGAGCAGGGATTATTAGTTTTCAGGAGAGTAGAGTGAGGTTCGGAATGATCACACAGCAAATAAAGGGCAGCGCCAGGATTCAAATGCAAATCCTCCTCCTTGGCTGGGTACATGGTCCCCAAAGACACAGTTGCCCTGCTCTCCACCCTTCCACACCCAACAGCCCTAGCAATCTTGCTTTCTTTTGAGCTGGCCGTTTACACCCCCTGGGAGGTTGGAATGCTCCCCCCCCCCCAAGACTCTCCTGGAAAAATCCTTCTCTTTATCTTGCAGAAGCCCCAGGGGCCAGATAGCTGGGTGTCTCTCTGTGGGTGACATTTGTGCCTGTTTCCAGCCAAAAGGGAGATGTTGGGGCCTCCTTGCCCAGTCTGTGTCCTGCATCCTAAGGCTTCCTAACACTCCGGTCTCCTGCAGGGCCCATTTATTCTTGAACAAGCATCACCAAAACAGCCCCCAGGAGGTGCTGGAGAGAGGAAGAGCTGGCCAGTGCCTGCCTGGAATTTTCTGTCCAGTCTAGGTCTGAGAAGCCAATCTCTTACAAGCCCTATAGCCCTCCTTCCGCCCGCCCCCTCTGCTGCTACCCCACAAGTAGAAAGCACAACTTTGCAGGACGCTTTTGAAAGCTCCGTCGCATTTAACGTGTGGGCAAACTCCCTATCTTTCTTGGCTGCCTCTAAGGAACGCCAGCCTCCCCAACAAGCTCAGCAGTTAGAGGCATCAACCTTCTCTAAGGCTTGGCATTAAACCTTCATTTGAGTGGCGTTTCAGACACGGAGCTCGCTCCGTTGTGTGTTGTGGCTGCACCATAACCCAGGGGGTCATCGGACCAGGAGTGTGGGCAGGAGGGAAAGACCCACAACTCCGAGTGAATCCAAGTGTCACAGCTGGTGCGGGAGGAAGCAAGATATTCAGCTCACAATGCTCTCGTGGAGCTGCAGGGCTAAAGCTTGGGCAGATGGTGGCTCTGGCACACTGTTCGTTGTCTGCCTGACAGCCATGCCCTCCTCCTTCTTTTCCACTAGAAAACCCTTTCTCCCACAATGGAGGTTGACAATGTCAGGTACTCACTTTCCCCGACTCCCTTGTAGGCAGGAGTGACCACGTATGACGACCGAGTTCTGGACCATGCTATGTAAGGAGAAATCAGCTGGATGGCTTTAGGGAAAGGGTTCCCCTGTCTTAAAAAAGAGAAATAGGTAGAGTAACGTTTCTCCTTAGCTTGTTGTCTTTAGACATGGCTGGAAGGAGGACCTGTTTGCAGATCCAACAGCTGTCAGCACTCCTCTTTGGTCAAGACTTGGCTTCTAGATGGCTTGGAGGGCAAAGAGAGGACACCGATTCCTTAAAAAAATTTTTTTTTAAAAAACATTTATTTATTTGAGGGAGAGAGAGAGCGATAGTGAGAAAGAGAGCATGAGCAGGGTGGAGAGGGAGAAGGAGGCTCCCCGCTGAGCAGGGAGCCCGATGCGGGACTCAATCCCAGGACCCTGGGATCACGACCTGAGCCGAAGGCAGATGCCAAACCGACTGAGCCACCCAGGCGCCCCTAAAATGACACAATTTTATCTTACACTTTTGGAGGCCAAAAGTCCGAAATGCATCCCACTGTACTAAAATCAAGGTCTTGGCAGGAGGCCCTTCTGGAGGCTCTAAGGAAGAATCTGTTTCCAGCTTCTAGAACCACCCACATTCCTTGGTTCATGATCCCTTCCTCTACCTTCAAAGCTGGCAATGTCAGGCTGAGTCCTTTTCAGGCTGCCATCTCTCTGGTTCCTTCACTCTGGCTCCCTCTTACACTTAGAAAAATCCACGTGAGGGGCGCCTGGGTGGCTCAGTCGGTTAAACATCTGCTTTCCACTCAGGTCATGATCCCGGGGGCCTGGGATCCAGCCCCTCGTCGGGTTCCCTGCTCAGCGGAGAGCCTGCTTCTCCCTCTCCCTCTGCCCCTCCCCCTGCTTGTGCTCTCACTCACTCTCTCTCTGTCAAATCAATAAATAAAATCTTAAAAAAAGAGAGAAAATTCCATGTGATTGTATTGGCCCACCCAGATAATCCAAGAGAATCTCCCCATCTCAAAGTCAGCTAATCAGCAGCCTTAATTCCATCTGCAAACCTTAAGTACCCTTTGACATGTAATATAACATATTCACAAATTCTGGGGAGTAGGACGTGGTCATCTTACTTCATCCACCACACAGGCTTAGGAAGAAAAGTGTCTCCCTCTTAGGAGCAAAAGTGGATGTCCCATGAGTACATGATATGGGGCTAGAAGCCACTTTAAATGTTTTAAAGTTGGACTGCATGCTGGAATTTTCAAATTATTTTTTAAATCCTAAGCTCCCGTATCACTTTACTCTGATATTGTATCAGTTTTCATAAACCCACTCAGCAGCTAATCGGCTCATCTCTGTAGGCACCTTAGGCTCAAGGGTGGATTTTTCCCTCTTGTATTTTTCCCCTTTCTCCCCACACCCCACCAAAGTGAAGCCAGCTCTGCTTCTCGCAGCCTCACTGCTTTGATACCTCAGGAAAGGTATTTAGCCTGGCAGGCGAGGAGAGAGAGCACCGTGGGTCCCCAGACCCTGCTTCCTAGCAGTGCTCTGAGGAGCTGGTGATTCCCCAAAGTGTAGTGCCCGCCCCCGCCCCGTTCACACAGAAACACAAGGGCTCCCAGCTGTCTGGCAGATTTCCTTAGCTGTCCGCAGAAGCAGCCACGGACAGGGACAATGAAAGGCTTAGTGGCAATTTACAGAGTACAGACAATCGATGACTAGGTGGGGCTTCCTCAGATGTCAGGCACTGTGGAAGTTTCCAAGACCTAGTCTTGATCTCGGGGAGGCAGGAACTGCAAGAATGACTCAGGTAGAATTTCCCAACACTCTGCTGAGATGGGGTGCCGAATCGAAATTGAGTTGATTTAGAAAAACAAGAGAGAGGGGCACCCGGGTGGCTCAGTTGGTTGAGCGGCTGCCTTCGGCTCAGGTCGTGATCCCAGGAGCCCCGCATCGGGCTCCCTGCTCAGCAGGGAGTCTGCTTCTCCCTCTGCCCCTCCCCCCTGCTCGTGCTCTCTCTCCCTCTCTCAAATAAATAATATCTTTTTAAAAAAAAAAGAAAAACAGGAGAGAGGGGTAATATTTATTGCATACCTAAATTTATGGACCGGGACTAATAACAAGCAAGAAACATGCCTTTCAATCTGCCAAAGAGCTTGGGCACACAGTTACATGGGAAATCACATGCTTAAAATGAAGCTTTTGAGTTTCTTCACACAATCAGAGAATAGGATCTCCTTCATGGAGCAGCGTATACGAACAAGCATTCTAGGAAGACTGAGGGAGGATGGAAGAGCATTGGGGTGCTCTAAAGAACTTGCCTGCATACACTGGCCAGTGTTTTTGGAGAGCAGTTGGGCCGTATCCACTAAACAGGGGCATCTTCTGTGATTCCGCAACCCAGACAGCACGAGAGCTCAAAAATACATGTACAAGATGTTCTCAGATCGGTTTCCTCCTCTCTAGCCTTCCTCACATGGCTCAAGCCAGCATCTCTCACCTGGCCCACTGTGGACAGCCTCCTCTCTGATTTTCCTGGGTCCAGACTTGCCTCTCCATGGAAAAGATTGTTGAGAATACAAACCTAATCCTATCACCTTCCTGTTCAAAACTCTACAGGACTCTTCTCCACTGCCCTCTGTAAATAGGCCGATGTTCTGAGCTTGCCACACAAGGCCCTGTGACCTGGCTTCTTTTTTCTTTTTTTAGACTTATTTACTTATTTGAGAGAGAGATTGGGAGAAGCAGACCCCCCGCAGAGCGGGGAGCCCGGGGTGGGACTTGATCCCATAACCCTGGGATCATGACCTGGGCCGAAGGCAGATGCTTAACCGACTGAGCCACCCAGGTGCCCCTGTGTCGTGGCTTCTTAACAGTGACCCAGTTTTGCAAGCATGCTGCAAGGTTTGTTCACCAAACGAGTCTGCAGGCTCCTGTCTGTGTCTCTGGGCGCACTGTTCCCATCTGTTATGCCCGAGCTCAGTTGCCTTCTTACCCATCAGGGGGCTCTTCCTGCCAGAAGCTGGCCTTCAAGGCCCAGCTTGGGAGTGGTTGTTTCTCCTTGGGGCTCCCAGAGTACAGCGTCTACCAGGATGGAATAGAAGTTAGCATACTGGATTGCAATTTTAAAGACACTTCCGTCTCCACCTCTACGCTGATGAGTTCTTTGAAGGTACCGGTTATGCTGTTATGTCTGTGGTTCTGCCATTTTAGAAGATTCTCAAAAGTTCTCTGCAAGGATATGGTCTCAGGCATGCAGGCCTCCTCATTTTCCTAGACCACCCCCTTCTGGTCCCAGACAATTCAGGCTGAACTTGCTCGAGCTAGACTTTTCTTCAACACGTAAGGGATGGTGTGGGGGTGGGGGGGCAGTAAATCCTACTTTCAACACAGTGTCTGGACTGCACGCCTTCATCTGTCACTTCCTGTGTGATCATGGGCAAATCACAGTCTTCGAGCTTCTGTTTCTCCCCAGGAAAGCGAGCATAATAATGCTAGCTACCCTCAGAGACTGTCGTGAAGGCGCTGAGCAATGAAGTGAAAGTGCTCTGCAATTGTCATGTGCTACACGCCGATAACCTCCAAAGAACCGCTTTTGTTAAAAGTGGCCCAGGGGAAAAAAAAAAAAGAAAGCTATAAAAAAATGAAGTCCCAAGTTTAGGAACCTGGTTCATACAGATGAAATCTTTCTTTTTCTTTTTAATTTTATTTACTTTTTATTTATTTATTTATTTATTTATTTATTTATTTATTTAAGAGAGAGAGAGAAAGCACAAGAGGGGGCAGGGGGGAGGAGCAGAGAGAGAGAGAGAGAGAGAAGCAGACTTCCCCGCTGAGCAAGGAGCCCGACGTGGGACTCAATCCCAGGACCCCGAGATCATGAGCTTAACCGACTGAGCCACCCAGGCGCCCCCAGGCGAAACCTTCCTATTCCTTTTCCATTGTCTGGACTAACTTTGTGCTTAACTCTGCCTTCACCTGCCCTCACATGTGGGACATCGTCCTCCCTCCATGCCATCTGTTTTACTCCAATTCCCGGTTGGTGACAGAAGAGCACTGGGTCCCTTTCATGACGGCAAGTCATAGAGTCACTGATCTGGGTTCAAGTCCCAACCCCGCCACTTCTTTGCTGCAGGACTCTGGACCGGCCGCCTCACCTCTTCAGGCCCGAGTTTTGTCACCTTCTGCGTCCTAGGTATGTGATGGGCAGTAAATGACACTGTATAACTGTTCCTTTCAATTTCAGTAATTTCCACCTCTACTCTTATTTAGCCTCCCACGGGTTTAATCACACCTAGGATGCCTTCTTGACTCAACTCAAGTTTCAGGTTTCATTTTCAAATATTTAAACTTGGAAATCCTCTTTTCGGAGTACCACCTCTGGTTTTTTTGTTTTTCAGTTCTCTTCCTTCTGCTGAAGTCACTCTGCCTTCAGCTTGGCTTCTAGCCCCCTCAATCCAACCTCGTTTTCCCAGACAGCCTCGGGCTGGCCTCAGTCACCTCTCTGCCCGGCCAGAACCTGAAGGCTTAGCCGCATCACCGTGCCCTCAAGGGCCGCCTCGCATTTCCACACTCCCTTTCCCTGGATGTCTTCCGGGCCCAGATAACGTTCTGCTTACTGTTTCAGCTTCCAAATGTTCAAGTTTGCAACAAACAGGTTTTTTCCTCCTCTGCTGGGGGAGCACCCTCATCAGCAGAAAGCCCGTCTGCCTCTCCCTGACCTCCTCTTGCCAGCGCTGAGGAAAAGTCGCCTCCCCCCTTCCCCGCCAACAGTCTCCTCTGACAGGCACCCTGGCTCCCACCCCGAGGCACCTCCTCCAGACCTTGATCCAGAATGATCCCCTCTATCACTTGCCTCTCCAGTTCTTCTCTCTCCCTCTCCTCTCCTTCAGCATATAGCAAACCCAGATCTCCCCCATTCCAAAATGACCTTCTCGGCCTTCCACTCCAGATACCACCTTATATGCACCCAAAGTACAGGTTCTTCTATGTGGCCATGGATTTACCTCCACCAGAGAGGCTTCCATTTTGACACGGCTTCACGTAGCTGTTTACCATCCCTTGGTTTCATCTTGAAGGTCTCCTTTTTAGCACATTTTATACAGCAGGTCTCATAGTAAGAAACTCCCTCAGCTTTTGCTTATCAGGAAAAGTCTTCCAGCCTTGTCGATGTGGGGGGCCAGGACCTGAGATGACTGTGCAAGGGCAGTAAGGGCCACCATAGGGGCGAGGGTAGCTTCCTTTCGTCTCGCTCGCTCTCTCCAGTATCTGCTTGGATGATTGACCCTTCTGTGTGGACAGGTTAAAAAACACATACACCTGTTTATTTATTTATTTTTAAGATTTTATTTATTTATTAGAGAGAGAGGAGAGAGAGAGAGAACACGAGCAGGGGGAGGAGCAGAGGCAGAGGGAGAAACAGACTGTCCGCTGAGCCGGCAGCCAGACGCGGAGCTCAATCCCAGGACCCCGGGATCATGACCTGAGCCGAAGGCAGATGCTTAACCGACTGAGCCACCCAGGCGCCCCCACATACACTTTTTTATTTTTATTTTTATTATTATTATTATTTTAAAGATTTTATTTATTTGACACAGAGAGAGAGACAGTGAGAGAGGGAACACAAGCAGGGGGAGTGGGAGAGGGAGAAGCAGGCTTCCCGCAGAGCAGGGAGCCCGATGCGGGGCTCGATCCCAGGACCCTGAGATCACGACCTGAGCCGAAGGCAGTCGCTTAACCGACTGAGCCACCCAGGTGCCCCCCCCACATACATTTTTTAAAAAAAGATTTATTTATTTATTTGAGAGAGAGTGAGAGAGCGGGGCCGGGGGGAGGTGGGGGTGGGGATGGGGCAGAGGGAGAGGGAGAGAGAATCTCAAGCAGACTCCATGCTGAGCATGGAGCCTGACGTGGGGCTGGATCTCACAACCCTCAGATCATGACCGGAGGCGAAATCAAGAGAGTCAGACACCCAGCCACTGAGCCACCCAGGTGCCCCACATACAGCTTTAAAAATAACCTAACTGCCCTATCCTACAGCTTTGGGTGGTACAGAGCCCACTTTCTGAAATACCACAGGCAACATTATTTGACCAAATGTTTCACCACCAAATAACTAAGTGTGACAACTTTCTAGTCTGTCATAGTTTTACCATTATGACTCCAAGCCTAACCCTATTTATTTATTTATTTGTTTATATATTTTTCCTTTTTATTAACATATAATGTATTATTTGTTTCAGGGGTACGGGTCTGTGATTGATCAGTCTGACACAATTCACAGCGCTCCCCATAGCACATACCCTTCCCAGTGTCCATCACCCAGCCACCCCACCCCTCCCAACCCCCCTCCACTCCAGCAACCCTTGGTTTGCTTCCTGAGATTAAGAGTCTCTTATCTAACCCTCCTTATTGAGCCAATTCTAAAACTTTAGATTTTGTACCTTGCAGCTCCTACTTTGAGGTACTCCATTCCAAATCAATTAGAATCTGAACTTAGCTCCAATAATTGGAACTCCAAAAACTGGCTCCAATTACATAAAAAAATATCTTCCCAACTAAGGAAAAGTCCCAAGGCGGGTAATCAAGGGCTGGAATGGCATCTTCGTGATGTTTTCAGAAATTCAGACTCCTTTTGTATTTCTGCTCAGACAATGTTAGAACGGTCATTTAACCTTCACAAGATGGCTGCCTGACCGCCAGACTTCACATCTGCCTTCAAAGCAGCAGAGAAGAAGAGAAGTTAATGACACAAGGAGATGGGTCAACTGATTCAGCTCTCCCACCCATGTTTTTTTGCTACAAAACATATTTGTGTGAGCATTCAGTCACTGTTAGGTGGGAAAGATGATACTCAGATTTCACTGCTAGGTTCGGCAGAATATAATGTCAAAGAATGACATATCCAATGTGACACATTGAAAAGAATGTTGAATAAAGAGCACTTAATCTTCAAAAAAATTTATAAAAATAATTTAAAGCTTCATGAATTAGGAATATGCCAATTTAAAACACTAAGAAATAGGACTATCATGAGAAACAAAATCAACCTCTGAGGGTATGAAAAGGGATGTAGGGCAAACAAGAAAGTTAGCATTTGTTGAGTTATGAATATGAGCTGTTCATATGATGAATATTAATTATTATTCAATGGTAAACCTTGCAAATACAAAATAAAATCCAAATTAGTGGTTACACAGCAAAAAAATCTACTTGCAATAAAAGCAAGGTTATAGATTCAGGTTCTGGCTTGTCAGACATTTCTTGCACTAACATTGTCTCCAGAAGCATCTGGCCAATTTGTACCCAGCGACTCCTTTTTTTAAAAAATATTTTATTTATTTGAGAGAGAGAGAACTTGAGAGTGAGAGAGAGAGCACAAGCAGGGGTGGGGCAGAGGGAGAGGGAGAAGCAGACTTCCTGCTGACCAGGCAGCCTGATGCGGGGCTCGATGCGGGGCTCAATGAGGGGCTTGATCCCAGTACCCTGGGATCATGACCTGAGCCGAAGGCAGACCGTTAACCGACTGAGCCACCCAGACGCCTCTGTACCTAGTGACTCCTTATGCACGCTGAATGGGATTCAGGTAAAATCCCACTGTGTACAGAGCTGAAAGAGTGTTTTCCATTCCCTGGGGGAATGATCAGTATACAGCAAGAGGTCTAAGGGTTCATATCTTTGTTGCCTTATCGTAATTCAAATGCATTTTAGGGTGTGATTTTCATTTTGCCCAAATGAATATGTGCCTTGAATATGTGCCCTATGGTCACACTTAGCAACAAGAAGAAAACAGAACTCCAGCTTTGAGGAGCTGTCGCACAGCACCCCAGCTGCAAGACATTACCTTGTGGGACATACTGAGGTCACCTTGCTTCCTGAGGAATTTTCCCAAAAGCTCTATGCACCAACTTCTACTTCCGCTTCCAAATGTTCAAGTTTGCATCAAACAGGTTTTTTCCTCCTCTGGCCAGAATTTAGCCATGTGGTTATTTCTCTTTGAGGGAGCTTGGGCAATGTAGCTTTCTAGCTGGCACGTGTTGCTGCCCCAAACAAAATTAGGGTTTGCTAACGAGGAAGGAGGAAAGAAAAGATCTCAGGTGGACTCTAACTAGTTGGGGCAGAAAGAAATTTATCCCCTGCAGAAATGTGAGAAGAGCTGTAGAAGCAGGTCTAGGTAAAGCTCTCAGAAACAACACTGCTTAGTCTGATTAACCTCAGAAACACTGCCTCTCCTGCCTTCCATGCCCGCAAGGCCAGTGACCTCTGCCCAGCCGTGTCCCCCTGGCAATTCCGAATCAAAGCCTTCCATGCGGGCATCTTATTGGTAAGAACTACATCACAGGCCCGCAAGGGATGTTGGGGAATGTAGTTCTACCTGAAGAAGTGGTATTCACAGTAGTGGTGAGTGGCATATTTCATTGATTCTAAGACACGCATTTTTCCACATTTTTATGCTTCTGAAATTAGCATACGTTTGACAGGTCTGTGATGGCTGTTGGCCATCTGGCAGTTTTGTGACGTGGCTGTCATTGTTTGTATGCACATGACACCCCCTTATAAGAATGAGAAAGCATTGCCATCGAAAGGGTACAAATGAGGGTCTCAGTAGCTTGGAAGGAAATCCTGGACCCAAGAGCGAAGCGTTTGGTTTAACTGTTGTCCCGCCAAAGAATCCCATAGGGTCCAAAATCAGCAACACAGACAACTCTGAGGTCATAAGAGTTCTACACTAACTATAAAGCACTTCTAGAAATAAGTTAACTGATTTCTTTTGCTTTTTAATGTATTCACAAGAGATTGACACCTAAACCAAATAAAAATTCTAAAATGATAAGAAAAAAATAGACTATTGACCCAGTTACACCACTCTCAGGAATTTAGCCTGAGAAAATCATTTAAAAGAAGAAAATTCTCGGGGCACCTGGGTGGCTCAGTCAGTTAAGCGTCTGCCTTTGGCTCAGGTCATGACCCCAGCGTCCTGGGATCGAGCCCCGTGTTAGGCTCCCTGCTTAGCGCGGAGTCTGCTTGTCTCCCTCTCCCTCTGCCCCTCCCCACCACTCGTGCTCTCTCTCTCAAATAAATAAAAAAATCTTAAAAAAGGAAAAAAATCCTGTATGTACAAGGAAGTTTGTTCACAGCCATGTGATTTATAAGGGCAAAGCAGACTGATAACAACTTAAGTGTTCAACAATGACAACAATAAGACCTACTAATATCTGTTGATATACTCTGTGCCAGGCCCTCGACATACATTATTTCATCTGATTCTCATCACAGCCGTTATGAGGTAGATTCTAACCTTATCCCCATTGTGTAGACGAGGCACAAACTCATGGTAACTTGTCCAAGGTCAAACAGCTAGTAGGTGGTAGAATCTGGATTTAAACTCTGGTCTGTGGATTTATATAGATTCAAACCTGTGCCATGTAATGATTAGAAAATGAAGCACGCTGTCATAAATATGTTGCACCGTTCTGGGCAGATAAAAGGAAAACAAATTTGTGTACACACTATAATCACAACTCTGTAAAATATGTGTATGAAAGGTTAGAAACTCAAGAAGCCTGCGAAATAGCTAGAGTATGTTGCAGTAAAACATGAATGTCCAGGATGGGTTTCTGGGGACCAGTGGGTCTATTGGCTCTGAATCTTTTTTGTACTATGAGACCTGTATTAGTCTCTTCAGGCCACCAAAACAAAATACCATGGGCCAGGTGGCTTAAATAATTTATTTTCTCATAGTTTCAGCAAATTCAATTCCTGGTTAGGCTCTCTTCTTGGCTTGCAGATGGCCCCCTGCTTTGCTGTGTCGTCACATGGCATTTTCTCTGTATGTTTTGGAGAGAGAGATCTCTGGTATCTCTTTCTCTTCTTTTAAAGATATCAATCCCGGGCGCCTGGGTGGCTCAGTCGTTAAGCGTCTGCCTTCAGCTCAGGTCATGATCCCAGGGTCCTGGGATCGAGTCCCACATCGGGCTCCCTGCTCGGCAGGAAGCCTGCTTCTCGCTCTCCCACTCCTCCTGCTTGTGTTCCTGCTCTCGCTATCTCTCTCTCTGTCAAATAAATAAATAAAATCTTTAAACTTTTTTTTTTTTTATTTGAGAGAGAGAGAATGAGAGACAGAGAGCATGAGAGGGAGGAGGGTCAGAGGGAGAAGCAGACTCCCCGCTGAGCAGGGAGCCCGATGCGGGACTCGATCCCGGGACTCCAGGATCATGACCTGAGCCGAAGGCAGTCGCTTAACCAACTGAGCCACCCAGGCACCCCATAAATAAAATCTTTAAATAAAGATACCAATCCCATCAGATTGGGGCTCCACCCATATGACCTCATTTAACTTTCTATTTCTTTTTAAAGATTTTATGTATTTATTTGAGAGAGAGAGCGAGCGAGAGAGAGCGCATGAGCTGAGGGAGAGGCAGATGGAGAAGGAGAGGCAGACTCTCCGCTGAGCAGGGAGCCCGATGCGGAGCTTGATCCCAGGACCCCGAGATCATGACCTGAGCAGAAGGCAGACACTTAACCAACTGAGCCACCCAGGCACCCCCTCATTGAACTTTCTGAAGGCCCTATCTCCAAATACAGTCACAATGAGGGTTAGGGCTTCAACACAGGAATTTTTGAGGCAACATGATTCAGTCCATAACAGGACCCCTTTGAGAACCTGATGAAAAGCTCTGTGTACCCTCTCCGGAGCCTGCCTACATCACCTCCCACAACGTTGCACACCATTTCAGGAAGTTGATGGACCCCAGATTGAGAACTGCTGTTCCAGGCCAACTTCCTCTTTCCACAGATGGAGAAACAGTGGTTCAGAAAAGGGAAGTGATTTTCCACAGATTTGGAGAGAGCCAAGTCTCATGATTCCTCATCTAGTGCTTGCCCAAGTTTACTCTGCCTTCTTCTAAGTCTGTTGGATCAACCATCCAGGGTGATGCCAGCGCACCACAGGTCCTCTGGACAGTAGCTTGGAAGGAAAGCCTGGACCCAAGAGTGAAGTGCTCGGTTTAAATGCTGTCCCGCCGAAGAAGCCCATAGGGTACAAAATCAGTAACAAAAGGTGCAGCCACTTCTTCACCTGGGATGCTCACATGGGTTAACAAGGCTCTAGCTATAATCGACAGCAAGGGGGATGGATTTCAGTGCCTTAAACTAGTCAGGACATTGTGAGGGAGCTGCGCCAACTTCAACATCCATCCACAAGAGACCTGAGGGTGAGGAGATGGAGGGGCTCCCGTCTTGCTGAAGGACAAAGTGGAGACTGAAGAGGCACAGCCTTGAACTATCTGGTGGCCATGACGCGGCATTGTCCCGCTAGCTCTGATTCCTCACCTGCACACTGCCCAGGAGTTGGGCTGTTTGATTTCTCCAAGAGTTCTTCTAGCTCTCATATTCTGTACTTCTGTGATACTGGGGCAGGAAGCATGGGGAAAAATGAGTTGAGGCATTTGGGTCCTAGAATTATGGGCAAAATAATTTTTTTTTTCAAAATGTCTTCTAATGGTATCATAGAATTAGAATAAAGAAAATGTTGTTTGGGGGCGCTTGGATGGCACAGTTCGTTAAGCATCTGACTCTTGATTTCAGCTCAGGTCCTGATCTCAGGGTCGGGAGATCGAGCCACCTGTCGGGCTCTATGCTTAGTGGAGAGTCTGCTTAAGACTCTCTCTCCCTCTGCCCCTCGCCCCCTCTCTAAAATACATAAATCTTTAAAAAGAAAATGTCGTTTAAAGAGATGAAAACGCCCTAAGGAGAATCTGAAAAGACCCTTTAAATACTTAGTCACTTAAGGTAAAGTTTTGACATAAATGTTTCCTTTATTTCTGCTTCAGGCCCATCCTTAAGTAAGAGAGGTGAATTAGTGTAGCTGGACTTCTAAGTAAAGGTGTCAAGAGAATGGAGAAGTATTTAGAATGGGAAATTCTATTTATCTTTAGGCAGAGGTGGTGGCCCAGAGAATCATTTCGTTTCATTTCATCGGTCAATGAAATAAATAACCATGACATTCTTCCTACTGACGCTCTCAATGCCATAAGGCAGTGTGGAGCCTAAACTTGGGCCACTTTGGGGGGACACAAGACTAGAAACAAAAGCAGGGGAAGCTCATGGGGTGAGGTCTAACTTTTCAGGAAAATTCTTCTAGCTTTGCTCCCTATCAACAATAAGGCCCTGAAGGGCTGCACACACCCACTTGCTGTTTCTTCTGCCTGTCAGTGCCCCACGCCCAGTCGTCTAACACATCAGTTTCTGTCTAGGGAGAAGAAAGAGGAAGAAAAGAGCTGCTGATGCTGGGGAGCAGGGGTGAAGGCTGGTGTTAAGAGGGAAGTGTCAAACAGGCAAGGGAGATGCAGTGCACCAAAACCACCACCACCACCACCACCACCACCACCACCATCACCACCACCATCACCACCACCATCACCACCACCATCATCACCACCACCACCATCACCACCACCACCATCACCACCACCATCATCACCACCACCACCATCACCACCACCACCACCACCATCACCACCACCACTACCACCACCACCATCACCATCATCACCACCACCATCACCACCACCATCACCACCACCACCATCACCACCACCATCATCACCACCACCATCACCACCACCACCATCACCACCACCACCACCACCACCATCATCACCACCATCACCACCATCATCACCACCACCATCACCACCACCACCACCACCATCACCACCACCACCACCACCATCACCACCACCACCACCATCACCACCACCACCACCACCACCATCACCACCACCACCACCACCACCACCATCATCACCACCATCATCACCATCACCACCACCATCATCACCATCATCATCACCACCACCATCCCCACCCCCATCATCACGCCCAGTCGTCTAACACATCAGTTTCTGTCTAGGGAGAAGAAAGAGGAAGAAAAGAGCTGCTGATGCTGGGGAGCAGGGGTGAAGGCTGGTGTTAAGAGGGAAGTGTCAAACAGGCAAGGGAGATGCAGTGCACCAAAACCACCACCACCACCACCACCACCACCATCACCACCACCATCATCACCACCACCATCACCACCACCACCATCACCACCACCACCATCACCACCACCACCACCACCACCATCATCACCACCATCATCACCATCACCACCACCATCATCACCATCATCATCACCACCACCATCCCCACCACCATCATCACCACCACCACCACCCCCATCACCACCACCATCATCACCATCATCATCACCACCACCATCACCACCACCATCATCACCACCACCATCACCACCATCATCACCACCACCATCATCACCACCACCATCACCACCACCATCACCACCACCATCATCACCACCCCCATCACCACCATCATCACCACCCCCATCACCACCACCATCACCACCACCATCACCACCACCATCACCACCATCATCACCACCATCATCACCACCATCATCACCACCACCATCACCACCATCATCACCACCACCATCACCACCACCACCACCATCATCACCACCATCATCACCACCATCATCACCATCATCACCATCACCACCATCATCACCACCACCATCACCACCACCATCACCACCACCACCATCACTACCATCATCACCACCACCATCATCACCACCATCACCACCATCATCACCACCATCACCACCACCATCACCACCACCATCATCACCACCACCATCATCACCACCACCATCACCACCATCATCACCACCACCACCACCACCACCACCACCACCTTTATTGGCATGAATAACCCCTTCAGTCCCAGTGGCCAATTGGCTAATTACAAAGAACAGGAGGAACTCCAAAGGCGTGGCATCCACCCCTTACTTCCCAAAAAACAGCCTTGAACGGCACTGCCCTCAGCTGGACAGATCAGCGTATTACAATGCACATCTTTTTGTTGTGGATTTTTGGCCTTCATTTCGTTTCTCTCAGGTTCTTTGTCCTCCACCTCTGAGAGGAAGTGGATGGGGAAGGTAGAAATCTCTGAAAAGCTGTAACCATAGTGCAACACCTTTGTGGGTTTTCAGCACAAATTCACAATTAGATTCTGAATGAAAACATACCACTCAAATATGGAATACTTGTAAAAAACAGATTGATATTATAATTATGTAAACATCATTCCCAACATTTTTAGTAAAATCTATGAAATTTTGAACATAAGGCTATTAATAGAAATGAAATGAGATTACTAATCTTAATGAGGCCCGTTGTAAATAAAGGAAATAATTTCAGTTTTACTTCTGGTTATAACAGAATTACAATATGTTCATACTACTATTTTATTTCTCTCTTTGTTTTTTAAGATTTTATTTATTTGACAGAGAGAGACACAGTGAGAGAGGGAACACAAGCAGGGGGAGTGGGAGAGTTGGAGAAGCAGGCTTCCGCTGAGCAGGGAGCCCAATGCGGGGCTCGATCCCAGGACCCTGGGATCACGACCCGAGCCGAAGGCAGATGCTTAATGACTGAGCCACCCAGGCACCCTTATACTACTATGTTACTTCTCTTAGTGTTATTTCCCCCCATTTATAGTGAAAGGTAACATAGATAGGGAAAATGTCACAATTGTATGCATATTTTAATAAATGATTATCAAGGGAATGTCTATTGTAAACTCCCCGGGTCACAGAAGAGAACGCTGTCAATATCCTCCAAAGCTCTTGAGGTTGCCCCATCTGGTTTCAGCCCCATTTCCTCCTCCAAAGAGGAAATCCACAACCTTACTTCTGTGGCCACCCTTTCCTCACGCTTCCTCATGGTTTTACACATAATACATGCAGCTTTATTTTGTTTTATTTCTCGGGAGTGGGGGAAGAGGGAGAGAGAAAGAATCTTAAGAAAGCTACACGCTCAGCATGGAGCCCGACACGGATCTCAATCTCACAAACCTGAGATCATGTCCTGAGCAGAAATCAAGAGTTGGACCCTTAACCAACTGAGCCACCCAGGTGCCCCTATATATGCATCTTTAAATGATCCATTAGTGCTGCCTGTTATTTACAGTTATATAAATGGAATCATTCAATATGTCAGTATTGGAGAGGTTGTGGAGAAGCGGGAACCCTCTTATACTGTTGGTGGGAATGCAAGTTGGTACAGTCATTTTGGAAAACAGTGTGGAGGTGCCTCAAAAAATTAAAAATAGGGGTGCCTGGGTGGCTCAGTTGGTTAAGCAACTGCCTTCGGCTCAGGTCATGATCCTGGAGTCCCGGGATCGAGTCCCGCATCGGGCTCCCTGCTCGGCAGGGAGTCTGCTTCTCCCTCTGACCCTCCTCCCTCTCGTGCTCTCTGTCTCTCATTCTCTCTGTCTCAAATAAATAAATAAAATCTTTTAAAAAAAATTAAAAATAGAGCTACTCTATGACCCAGTAATTGCACTACTGGGTGTTTCCCCCAAAGACACAGATGTAGTGAAAAGAAGGGCCATATACACCCCAATGTTCATAGCAGCAATGTCTGCAATAGCCAAACTGTGGAAAGAGCCAAGATGCCCTTCAACAGACGAATGGATCAAGAAGATGTGGTCCATATATACAATGGAATATTACTCAGCCATCAGAAAGGATGGATACCCAACTTTTACATCGACATGGATGGGACTGGAGGAGATTACGCTAAGTGAAATAAGTCAAGCAGAGAAAGTCAATCATCATATGGTTTCACTTATTTGTGGAACATAAGGAAGAACATGGAGGACATTAGGAGAAGGAAGGGAAAAATGAAGGGGGGGAATCGGAAGGAGAGACGAAGCGTGAGAGACTATGGACTCTGAGAAACAAACTGAAGGTTTTAGAGGGGAGGGGGGAGGGAGGATGGGTTAGTCTGGTGATGGGTATTAAAGAGGGCACGTACTGCATGGAGCACTGGGCGTTATACGAAAACAATGGATCATGGATCACCACATCAAAAACTAATGATGTATTGTATCGTGACTAACGTAACATAATAAAATAAAATTTAAAAAAATATGTCAGTATTTTCTTGCTTTTTTTTATTCACTCTTATATTTGTAAGACTCATTCTTATTATCCTGTGTAGTGGTACTTCGTGCATTTTTGCTGATGAAAAAGTATTCTCTCATATAAATGTGCCACAAATCATTGATCCTGTCCACAGAATTGGAAATTTGTGTGGTTCCCCTATTTGTAACAAAACGATAACAAAAATACTACTCATAAAACTTTCTGTGATGCCATTAAAGGGGTATTTGTAATGCATATATTTAAAAGAGGATAGTTGAAAGTTGATGAGAATAGTTAGAAAAAAACAAGCTCAAGAAAAGATGAAGGAAGTAATAAAGGTAAAAGAAATTAGTGAAAGAGGAAACAAGTATACAAGAGACAGGATCACAAAGGCAGGAGTTGGTTCTTTGGAAAAAGAATAAAATTGGTGAAACTCTAATGAGATTGGTCAAGGAAACAAGGGAGCAAAACACCGACATTGAAAAAGAGAGGGTAGAAATAACCACAAAACCAAATGATCAAAATTAAGTTGTGGGACAACTGACATCAAGACTATCCTGATGTCATGCACCGAGAAGGACTGAACATCACCTGTATGGTATTCCTGCCCAACATGTTTAACCTGAAATTAAACAGGAGAAAGCAATCAGACAAATCCAACCTGAGAAGCTTTCTGAACACTTGGACCAGATCTTCAAAAGGCAATGTCATGCAAGACCAAAAAAACGTCTGGGAAAATATGTTAGTTTAAATACTAAAGAGACTTGACAACTGAAATGCAACGCATGATCTTTACTTGGAAAGATGAGGGTTTTGTTTTTGTTTTAGAGATCAGGTACAAAGAACAATATCGGGACAATGGGAAATTTTGAGTGAGGATTTATACTAGGTATTGTATTGTCTCAAAATTAAATTTTCAGAGTGTGATAACTGCATTAAGATTTTGTAGCAGACCATGATTTTTCTTAAGAAATACATGCTGAGTATTTAGGGACGATATACCGTAATTTCTTCAAGTAACTTAAATGAATCAATGAAACATTTAAAACACACACACACAGAGGGGAGGGACAGAAAATGACACATGTGACAAATAATAATGGGGGAATCCAGGTGAAGGATATATAACTGTTCCTTACAATTTTCTTGCAACTATCTGTAGGAGAGACATTTTCAAAAGTAAAATTTGAGGAAAAAGAAGATATTACACACCACTTTATGCCTGTCGGTTTGAAAACTCAGAAAAAGGTGACCAATTTCTAGAAAAAAATAACTCGCCAAAAGTCACTCAAGAAGGAAAAGCCAACATGAATTGTTCTATAACCCTATAGAAATATATCACTAGTCAAAAAGTTTTTTTAAAAAAAATCCAGGCTCCTCCAAAAACTTTGGACAAACACCTTAGGCAAAAACATTTTTAATGTGACATGAATTCATAGAAAAACTGGAAAAAGAAGGACACTCCCCAAAACATTTTGTGAGGATACAATAACCTGGATAATAAATCCTGTCAAGGACAAGTTGAGAAAGGAAAATCACAGGTCAATCACACATTCATGACAAAGAAGCAAGAATCAGAAACAGAATATTAGCAAACCGAACCCTACAGGATATAAGAAGGAAAATAGAGAATGTGCTCTGAAGAAACTGGACTCATCTCAGACACACAAACTTGATTTAACTTCAGAAGATAAAGTACTACAATATTCCACGTTCACACATTATAGGAGATCATTGTGAACCTCAAATTCAGAAAAATAATTGTAAGACCCAGTATCCATTCATAATGTATCTTTCACAATTCTTTAAAAGTTTAAGATTATTGAGATAGAATTTACATCAAGGTCTGAGTCCTTACAAACTCATACTGTTAGGGAACCACCACCACGATCAAACTACAAAAAATTTTCATCACCCGCCAAAACCCGTCATGCTCTGATAGTTAAACCCCTTCTCTCAACCCCCAGACACTAGCAACCACCGATCTGTTCTCTGTCCCTATGGTTTGGACTTTGCGAGAATGTCACGGAAATGGAATCCTGTGGGGGCTCCTGGGTGGCTCAGTCGGTTAAGTGTCTGACTCTTGGTTTCCTCTCAGGTCACAATCTCATGGGTGGTGGGATCGAGGCTTGCGTTGGGCTCCACGCTCAGCAGGGAGTCTGCTTGATGATTCTCTTCCTCTATCCCTCCCCCCAACTCATGTGTCAGTGCTCTCTCTCTCTCTCCCCCTAAAATAAATAAATAAATCGTAAAAAAAAAAAAAAAAGAAAGAAATGGAATCCTGTGATATGTAGCTTTTGCACTTTGATGTCCTTCACAAAAAGGGCCACACACAATATGGCACGTCTGGAGGTGCAATGTACTGTTCCTCACCTGGGTAGTAGTTACATGGCTTGATCACTTCCTATCCATTTGTCAAATTGTAGGCTTTCTACAATTGTGTATACATACAGTGTTTCATAAATATAATTAATACTTGGGACATCTGTGTGGTTCAATTGCTTGAGCGTCTGCCTTTGGCTCAGGTCATGATCCTGGGGAACTGGGATTGAGACCCACATTGGGCTCTCCACTCAGCAGGAAGCCTGCTTCACCCTCTCCGTCTACCTGCTGCTACCCCTGCTTGGGCTCTCTCTCTTTCTCTGTCAAATGAATAAATAAAAAAATCTATAAAAAAATATAGAATTAATACGTACTTTCCTGTAATTTATCCTATCTTTGTAAAGGTTACTTATTAAATAGCGATTGTTATCCTTTAAAAGAAAGTGGAAAAGTCAAGACAGCAGTCATCTCAAGAAAACTGAGGAGATAAGTGACTGGCACGGGGCAAAAGGAGGGTTTCAACTTACTGTCAAGTTTCTCTAAATCTGGTAGGTAGTTACCTACCTGGCAGGTAGTTACCAGGACTACAAGCTGGCAGGAGCACAGGGCCGCCGAGCACCCTCCAGTCATGTGAAGGGTGCACCCGGGATCACGCACGTAACAGCTCACATGGCCACCTGACACCCCCAACGTGCGGGCCAGCCAAACCCAGCAAACACGGGCGACAGTCTCCCCACCTTAAGGTCAGCTGAGTAGCAAGCGGAATTACATCTGCAACCTTCACCCCATCGCCACCATGCAAGGTAACATACGAGCGGATTCCAGGAACTAGGACGTGGACACCTCTGGGGACCATTCCTCTGCCCACCACGCCCAGCTCCGTGTCCAGGGCTCACCTCCTCCTGCCCTCCTTGGGTGTGCCCATCCCCCCCAAGCATCTGCAGAGAAAGGCTGGCCGCTGGTGGGCGTGGCGCTGGTGCTGGAGCTGGAGGTGGTAGAGAGGGAGGCATCTGGCCCGGAGCTGGGCAGGCAGCAGAACGAGGCAGGACGGGGCCTAGGGCTCCCCAGGCCAGCCGCCACTGCCTCCCTGGCTAGAGAGGAGGCGTGAGGGGGAAGGCAAAAGGGGCACACTACAGGAGGGCGGGGGACCCACCTCCTCCTTCCCCCTGGGACCCACATGTCCTCCCTTAATCTGCCCCTCACTGTCTCCACTCACTTCCTCCTGGGACGGGAAGGTGGCCAGCCACAGCCCGCGATATATATGTTTACAGCAACATGACCTGGGGCTGCTTGGTCTGAATATGCGACCGGGATCATGTGCTCAGAGGAGGGAAGGGAGGCCAGCAAAACTGGTCAGCCAAGATTGCGATCATGTCCTCCCCGGTCCCCTTCTCCCCTTCCTCACGCTGGCCACCATGGCTCTGTGGTCCCTGGGGGGTGTGGGTGCTGGACTTCTCCCCAGTCACAACTTGCCCGCCTGTCTGCCCGCGGACACCCCGGCTGAAGGTCTCTCCCAAACACATTCAGTCAGACCACAGCGCGCCATGATACCCCGCCAAGAGAGAACCACAGGGTCCAGGTGAAGGCTGGAGCCTCAGCATCCAAGCCCACCTTCTCAAGTGAGGGGTTTGGAGGGGAAGGATTGAGTCCCACGAATGTCCTTTTCCAGGCTGAGCTCTGTGCTTGTCCCACCCCGTGCGGGATGGTCTGGCCACCTGAGTTCATGGCACAGGGCCCCGAGGAAGGCAGGCTGAGAAGGGGGGGGTGTGTGGGGAACCAGGTCGGCCCAATTTTCCATGGGGAAGCCACTCTCTACTTCCCATCCTCACTGCGCCCATCCTGCCCCTGTCCCCGTTAGCTCCTGGCAGAGCAGTCTCCTGAACAAGCTCCCTGCTGCTAAGATGAGGCCTGCGCCAGCCCCTCTGAGGCAGCCTTCCCTGCCACTGTCCTTCCTTCAACACACACGGGAGGGCTCAGAGCTCAGAGGATCACAGAGTCGGATCCACAGCCTCCTCTGCGGGCTCCCAATTGAGCATCCCCGCACCCTGTCCGGGGTCTGGGGACTTCCACGACAGTCCCCTCCTGATGAGGGAATGTAACAGCACCCCCTGAAAGGTAGATCCGCCCCTTGCTTCTGCTCATTCAGTATCTTACCGGTTCTTGACCACAGTCTCCCCCCTTTACTCCCTGACTCACACCGCTCTCCCCCCAGGGACATTATCCCTGATTAATTTTATTCACACACACTCACACCCACAGGTGAACAAACGCACACACCAACCTTGACCGTTCTGGGGACCATCGACCCTCCCCCCACCCCGGCTTCTGTGCGTGAAACACCCGGTCTCTCGGGAAGGGTGTCTGGTCTGGCAGAAGCGACCCTCACCTCCCTCAGACCCAGATCTGTCCCTCTGAGTCTCAGGCCAGCACAGCCCTGGGTCCCGGCTGAAGGAAGGAAGCCATCCCCACCCGTCAGCGAGGGGGAAATGGAACACGGAGTCAGACGAAATCTCCCGTGGCCTGAAGGGACAGTCAGGGAGCCGGAGCGGGGACACGGAAATAGCGCTTCCGGAAAAACCTGGGTCATGGTGGTGGTCGAACAGCATTGGAAGGGGACCAGGCAGGCACATCGAGACCCATCAGGCACCCTTGCCATAGAAGCGGGCGGCCACTTTCCGACCAAGGGTCCGGAGACGAGCAGGCAGGAGGCGGGGGGTGGGGGGGAGGTGGCTTGCACACGAGGGATAGGAGGACTCTGATGGCTAGACCATCCGTTTCCGGCCGCTGGTGGGCAGTTTGCCCCAGGGTGGCCCAGAGCCCCCACAAGCCTCGACGCCCCCACCTCCAGCCCAGAGACCGACCTGTGCTTTTGCCCTGTTCCCCGTACCTCCCCTCTGGCTCTGCACCCCACTGGGCTGTGACTTCTGTGACTTCTGCCTCCACCCCGCCACCGCCACCGAACCCAAGGAGGGAGAAGTGAGGCCCTGGAATCCCAGTGTCAAGACCCAGGGCTAAAGAGGAGAGGGGGAGGATGCGCCAGTTTCCGGGCCAGGGGTCCTTGTGCGCGGTGGCAGCAGAGGGAGGGAAGGACTCCGCCGAGGGGACTGGGCCCAGGAAGGAAGGGGCAAGAGGAGCTCAAGTGTGCTCTTTACCCCGGGTTGAAGCACAGGGGCAGGGAAGGCCAGCGAGGGCAAGCCCCGGGAGTGATCAGGGACGCTCAGATGGCAGAGCGGGGCGGGGGGGGGGGGGTGCCGGGAAGAGCAGGACAGCGATCCCAAGGAGGGAAGGGAAGGGCGACTGCAGTTCTGGAAGGGGCCCCGGGTTCCTGCTGCAAGGCGAGGGGGCAGGGGGGAGAACGGAGATGGACGGGGAATCCGGGACCCAAAAAGGGGGGAGATGAGGGGAGAAACCAAAGGCGGCCCGCGGGGGGAAAGGGAGCACATGCTCACACTGATCCCAGAGTGGGGTGGGGGGCACGCTGCGGGCGGGATGGCAGGGCTCCTAGCACAGGCCGGCCCACACTCCCCGCAAGGGCAAGGCCTACCACATGACCCCGGAGGTCCTGTTCTGGAAAAGGCTGTGACAGGGAGCAGCTCCCTGCCCCGCCCCGCCCCTCTCCCATCCCCGGCCCGGCACCCCCCCCACACCCCACAGAGAGGGCAGACCACAGACCTGAGAGGTACTTTAATTTGAAACTGCTGTGAACTGGGGCGGGGAGGGGGGCAGAAGAACAGGGAGAGGAAGCCTTGGCTGAGGGCGGGCAGGAGGGAACCGGCTTGGCCGCAGCTCCCCGGCTCCGAAGGCACCAGCTGCCCCTCTGGGACAGAGATGCTGGGCGCAGCCGGCCCGACAGCGCAGGGTCCGGGAAGAGCCCGAGCCAGGGCCAGCCCCCGGCCCTGCCGCCAGCCACGGCCATGCAAAGGGCAGCGGGGTGTGTCACGCTCCCTTCACAGGCTCTGGCCCTTGTCAGTCAGGGACTGCATGGCCGCTGCAACAGAGACAGGCGTCAGCACGCCCTCCAGACACGGGGCGAGAGAAGCCCGGGCCCCGACCCCGCGGGGAACCGCCGAGCCCTGCGCCCCGAGACCCCCTCCAGCCCCGGGCCTGACTCCCTCACCCACCACCTCAATTCCCTATGGACACGTCCTCTAAGGGAACAAACTGCGGCCAGCACTTCTCCAGCTTTGGGGCACATCGGACTCGTTCAGCCTATGGAACAGACACACACACACACGCACAAACGCACACGTACACACACGCTTGTGTAAACGCACACACACGCGCACACGCACACACACGCATATGCATGCACGCACACACACGCAACAGCGTGCGCACATAGTGCGCGTGCACACATGCACACGTCCAGAAACATGCACACATGCGCACATGCACACGTGCACATGCTTGGCACACACGCACACATACACGCGCGCACGCACGCACGCCTTGCAAGCCGTATCAAGGAGCACTTAACGGGAAAATGAAGGAGGCATCTGCAAAGGTCCTAAAAGAGGGAGACCTCTGGGACCTGTTGGCGCCGGCAGAGCGCGCACGCAGTCGAGGCAGGGCTTCCCCGTTCGTGCACACACCCAGCTGCACACGCACAGCAGGCTCCGGGCCAGGCCTGCCAGGTCCTGTCCCCACAGGAATGCTGGTCCCTGGGAGGCCGCCTGCACCTGCAGCCCATCCTGGGTCCCGCACCAAGGACCCCCCAGCCCCCCAGCCTGCCTCTGCCCCAACCCGGCCCGGACCGAGGTTCCTCATACCAAGCTGCTCTTTAAGGTCGTCTATTTCCCTCTGTAGCACCAGACACTAGGCCCGCAGACAGCAGAGAGGGAGAGACACAAACCATTAGTACCCTCTGGCTTCCTCTCCTCGACCTCCCCCTCTCCCACGGGCACTACGGCCCCAGGCCCAGTGGCTAGACCCGCACAGGCTCCTCAGTGGAAAGGGGGCGCCTTCCCTGTGCAGGGAGCCGACGGGAGGGGGGAACACCTATGTCAGTCTAGCCCGGACCTGGATCCCACCCTCCGGTTCGGGCCCGCATTCCTAGGAGCCCCGGGGAGCGTTACCCGCAGACAGCCCTGTGCGCCAGCCGGTGGTTCCTGCTGCCTTCCGGGCCTTGCGGGCTGGCCCGGCGGCTCCTGGTCACCTGCGAGGGACAGGACGTCCGACCCAGCTTCCCAGGCCCCCAGGGAGCTGCAAAGGGCCTCCGCGGGGTGGAACGTGAGGCGGCACCACCCTCTGCTGGCCGCAAGTGGCCCCTGCTCTGGCAGCAGCTGCAACCTTCCCTCGGGCCCGTCCCCCCTGCCCCCCAGGGGCAGCCCATCCTTGAAGGTGGGTTCCCCCCCGCCCCGGGACTGGGGCTCTGGCTTGGACTCTCCCAGAGCGGCAGCACGGCCAGCGCCCGGGACGAGCAACGTGGCCAAGCAGGACGGAACAGAATCTGAGGCTCTGCTCTGCGGAAGGTCTACGTCCGGGGCTGCAGTTTGGGGCGCTGCCACGCAGAACCCCTGCTGCACAAACCCCACGCGGGGGAGGATGTGGCTTAAGGCCGGTCCGTCGAGACCCCATTTCCCGTGGGAGAAGCTGCCCTGGGAGGGAGGGACGCGGGGAACAAAGCTGGGCCCCCAGCAGAGCCGGAGCCAGAGGGTTCCCTCCTCATCCCCCCCCCCCCCCCCCCGCGCTCCTGTGACACCCACAAGACTCACCGGCGAGGGCAGGCCCTCTGTGCAGGACATCTCCCTGGCTCAGGGCCAAGGGCTCCGAGCTTCCTGGAACTCGGGGGGCTCTGGTGTGGAGGTTGCCGCTGCTGCACACCCTGCGATGCATGCACGAAGATGGGCCTGGCCTCCGTGTTGGAAGCTAAAAGAAAAATTTCTCACCGACCTGGACTTGGGATGTGGGATGTGGTGTGCGCGCGCGTGTGTGAGTGCGCGCGCGCGTGTGAGTGTGGGTAGGCGTGCACACGTGTGCACGTGCGTGTAGCAGCTGGGGTGAGGCAGGGAATAGGGAGGGGAACTCAGAGGCTGGTCTGGCTGGCGCTTCCTCCCTCAGTCAGCCCCGGGCCAGGAGGCAGAGCTGAGCCAGGGAGCAGAGCAGGGCACTGACAAAGCCCAGGCGTCTGAAGACTGAAGGTTCGTGGACCAAGCCTGGAAATCAGCTACCAGCCCTCCCTTCATCGCGGCCCCTCCCTGGGGGAAGGAGGCAGGAAACGGGCCAAGGGTCCGGAATGGTGGCGGGCACACACGCACTGCTACCCTAGGTTAATGTCTGCCCCTGCGAAGACGACCCACGACGCGATCTGGCGTGCCCGTGGTCCCAGTGACCCAGGGGCACCCACGGCAGCCCCTGAAGTAGGGACAGAGGGAGCATGGGTAAAGAAGTGGGCAGAGGGGGAGGGGAAGGGCACCCAGAGAGGAGGAGCATGGCCTACTCACTTGGCCCTTTGGGAGGACCGCGTCTCTGTTCGAGTCACTGCCTTCTCCCGCAGCGGCCGCCACCTCGGCCCCCCGCGTCCTCCTGGCCACAGATTTCTTGCCGGCGGCGCCCGCGTGCTTGGACTGTTTGGGTCCCGAAGGGACCAAGGAATACCTCTTGGACCTCCCAAGCAGCGGGACACCGGAGATTGGGGGGAAGGTGGCTGGTTCCAGGGGAGCAGCCGACACTCTCTGCCCCCAGGAAGGGAAGCTTTTGCCCAGGGCCACTTTTGAGGCCCCCCCTGGGCATTTCTTCTCCTGGGCCGCCTTCCTCCTCGAGGGGGCCTGGGGCAGGCCGCCTGCAGCAGCAGCAACAGCAGCAGCTCCCCGGTAGCTGGGCCTGCTCTCCCCCTTCCCCCAGACCACACTTGGCATTTTCTTAGAGGAGGAGATGTCCAGCTCTCCGACGGCCGGCCTCTCCACTACCGAAGTGAACCCTCGGGCAGCGGAGGTCAGGAAAGGGCCCGGCACGGGAAGGAAATTCTCCCTGACGTGGAAATTCGCGTGTCTGGCTGTGTCCCCGGGATCCTCGGGGCTGTTGGGCTTGGCTGGGCCGCCTTCTTTGGAGTAAATGCTCACCCTCATCAGCTGTATCTCGCTGAACTCATCTGAGGACTCGGGGTCGGAGGGCAGCCCGCCGGGGCCTTCGGCGGCCGCGGGCCGCTGGCGATCCACCCGCACGGTCGACGGGCCCTTGGCGCCTCCTGTCGGGTTCCCCCAGGCCCGGCCCCCCTCGGGCCCACCGACGTGCAGCCGGGCGGCGGAAGGCGGCCGCGACTCCACGCGGCCCAGGGCGAGCGCGCCTCGCCCACTGGGCCCTGCCTCGACGCCGGCCCAACCGCCCGACGCCTCCGCGCCGCAGCTCTCCGGGGACGGGTTTCTCCGCAGGCCCAGGGCCTCGCGGTCTGTCAGCTGCTGCGCCCTGGCCGCCGCGGACTCGTCGGCGAGGTGGCACGCGTAGTCCGGGGCGTCCCCCTCGTCGGCGGCCGGGGAGCCGGGGCGGCCTTCGCGGCCCCACAGCACCCGCCCTCCCGCTTCCATCACTTCCCGCTCGGACTCGAAGCCCTCGGCGTCTGGGAACCCGCCCTCGCCCTCGCCCTCGCCCTCGCCCTCGCCCTCGCCGCTGGGCGGCGGCCCCAGATCCAGACCTCGTGCCGGGGCCCGCGGGGCCCGGGGGCCGGCGGGGAGGACGCTGGCCTGCCCCCCGCCCTCCGGGCCCAAACCCGCTCCCCAGACAGACCCCTCCTCCTGAGCGCTCATGCCGGCCACGCCGCGCAGCCCGGGCTCGAGGGAGACGATCGCCCTGGTCCCGGCGCGACAGGCCAGAGCGGAGAGGCGCCAGGCGATTGGCGCGCGACGTGCGACGGGAGCCGCGAGGCCTCCTGGCGACGCAGGCGGGCGCCACAGGCACCGCACGCGATCGCCTCAAACAACGCGCGCGGCTCTGTGCGCGCTTCTGACGCCTGCGCCGCGGCCTCCTCATTGGTCCGCCCCCCGCCAACCAGTGAGCCCCTTGTTGGCCCGCCCCTCGAGGCCCCAACCAATGGGGTCGAGGTCCTTTGGCTTGCATGGGAGCTGGTCTAGGTCTCTGTGTCTGGCAGTTGGGGCGGTGGACCCAGCTCTTCTGGTCCCGCCTCTCCTGCGCTGGACCCTGCTTCACTGTTGGAGTCATGGCTCTGCGGCTCTGCCTCCCCATTCACAGAGCAGGGTGGTGGGCACCTGTCTCCGGGGTTGTGGGGACGAAGGAGGTGAGGCATGTAGTGCACAGAGGATTCCCCGGCTTCTGTTGCACAGCGGCACTTAGGAGCTCCTGTCAAAGGGCCTGCCCCCTCCAGTGAGTCTTGTGGGTGTCACAGGAGCGCGCGCGGGGGCGGGGGGGATGAGGAGGGAACCCTCTGGCTCCGGCTCTGCTGGGGGCCCAGCTTTGTTCCCCGCGTCCCTCCCTCCCAGGGCAGCTTCTCCCACGGGAAATGGGGTCTCGACGGACCGGCCTTAAGCCACATCCTCCCCCGCGTGGGGTTTGTGCAGCAGGGGTTCTGCGTGGCAGCGCCCCAAACTGCAGCCCCGGACGTAGACCTTCCGCAGAGCAGAGCCTCAGATTCTGTTCCGTCCTGCTTGGCCACGTTGCTCGTCCCGGGCGCTGGCCGTGCTGCCGCTCTGGGAGAGTCCAAGCCAGAGCCCCAGTCCCGGGGCGGGGGGGAACCCACCTTCAAGGATGGGCTGCCCCTGGGGGGCAGGGGGGACGGGCCCGAGGGAAGGTTGCAGCTGCTGCCAGAGCAGGGGCCACTTGCGGCCAGCAGAGGGTGGTGCCGCCTCACGTTCCACCCCGCGGAGGCCCTTTGCAGCTCCCTGGGGGCCTGGGAAGCTGGGTCGGACGTCCTGTCCCTCGCAGGTGACCAGGAGCCGCCGGGCCAGCCCGCAAGGCCCGGAAGGCAGCAGGAACCACCGGCTGGCGCACAGGGCTGTCTGCGGGTAACGCTCCCCGGGGCTCCTAGGAATGCGGGCCCGAACCGGAGGGTGGGATCCAGGTCCGGGCTAGACTGACATAGGTGTTCCCCCCTCCCGTCGGCTCCCTGCACAGGGAAGGCGCCCCCTTTCCACTGAGGAGCCTGTGCGGGTCTAGCCACTGGGCCTGGGGCCGTAGTGCCCGTGGGAGAGGGGGAGGTCGAGGAGAGGAAGCCAGAGGGTACTAATGGTTTGTGTCTCTCCCTCTCTGCTGTCTGCGGGCCTAGTGTCTGGTGCTACAGAGGGAAATAGACGACCTTAAAGAGCAGCTTGGTATGAGGAACCTCGGTCCGGGCCGGGTTGGGGCAGAGGCAGGCTGGGGGGCTGGGGGGTCCTTGGTGCGGGACCCAGGATGGGCTGCAGGTGCAGGCGGCCTCCCAGGGACCAGCATTCCTGTGGGGACAGGACCTGGCAGGCCTGGCCCGGAGCCTGCTGTGCGTGTGCAGCTGGGTGTGTGCACGAACGGGGAAGCCCTGCCTCGACTGCGTGCGCGCTCTGCCGGCGCCAACAGGTCCCAGAGGTCTCCCTCTTTTAGGACCTTTGCAGATGCCTCCTTCATTTTCCCGTTAAGTGCTCCTTGATACGGCTTGCAAGGCGTGCGTGCGTGCGCGCGTGTATGTGTGCGTGTGTGCCAAGCATGTGCACGTGTGCATGTGCGCATGTGTGCATGTTTCTGGACGTGTGCATGTGTGCACGCGCACTATGTGCGCACGCTGTTGCGTGTGTGTGCGTGCATGCATATGCGTGTGTGTGCGTGTGCGCGTGTGTGTGCGTTTACACAAGCGTGTGTGTACGTGTGCGTTTGTGCGTGTGTGTGTGTGTCTGTTCCATAGGCTGAACGAGTCCGATGTGCCCCAAAGCTGGAGAAGTGCTGGCCGCAGTTTGTTCCCTTAGAGGACGTGTCCATAGGGAATTGAGGTGGTGGGTGAGGGAGTCAGGCCCGGGGCTGGAGGGGGTCTCGGGGCGCAGGGCTCGGCGGTTCCCCGCGGGGTCGGGGCCCGGGCTTCTCTCGCCCCGTGTCTGGAGGGCGTGCTGACGCCTGTCTCTGTTGCAGCGGCCATGCAGTCCCTGACTGACAAGGGCCAGAGCCTGTGAAGGGAGCGTGACACACCCCGCTGCCCTTTGCATGGCCGTGGCTGGCGGCAGGGCCGGGGGCTGGCCCTGGCTCGGGCTCTTCCCGGACCCTGCGCTGTCGGGCCGGCTGCGCCCAGCATCTCTGTCCCAGAGGGGCAGCTGGTGCCTTCGGAGCCGGGGAGCTGCGGCCAAGCCGGTTCCCTCCTGCCCGCCCTCAGCCAAGGCTTCCTCTCCCTGTTCTTCTGCCCCCCTCCCCGCCCCAGTTCACAGCAGTTTCAAATTAAAGTACCTCTCAGGTCTGTGGTCTGCCCTCTCTGTGGGGTGTGGGGGGGGTGCCGGGCCGGGGATGGGAGAGGGGCGGGGCGGGGCAGGGAGCTGCTCCCTGTCACAGCCTTTTCCAGAACAGGACCTCCGGGGTCATGTGGTAGGCCTTGCCCTTGCGGGGAGTGTGGGCCGGCCTGTGCTAGGAGCCCTGCCATCCCGCCCGCAGCGTGCCCCCCACCCCACTCTGGGATCAGTGTGAGCATGTGCTCCCTTTCCCCCCGCGGGCCGCCTTTGGTTTCTCCCCTCATCTCCCCCCTTTTTGGGTCCCGGATTCCCCGTCCATCTCCGTTCTCCCCCCTGCCCCCTCGCCTTGCAGCAGGAACCCGGGGCCCCTTCCAGAACTGCAGTCGCCCTTCCCTTCCCTCCTTGGGATCGCTGTCCTGCTCTTCCCGGCACCCCCCCCCCCCCCGCCCCGCTCTGCCATCTGAGCGTCCCTGATCACTCCCGGGGCTTGCCCTCGCTGGCCTTCCCTGCCCCTGTGCTTCAACCCGGGGTAAAGAGCACACTTGAGCTCCTCTTGCCCCTTCCTTCCTGGGCCCAGTCCCCTCGGCGGAGTCCTTCCCTCCCTCTGCTGCCACCGCGCACAAGGACCCCTGGCCCGGAAACTGGCGCATCCTCCCCCTCTCCTCTTTAGCCCTGGGTCTTGACACTGGGATTCCAGGGCCTCACTTCTCCCTCCTTGGGTTCGGTGGCGGTGGCGGGGTGGAGGCAGAAGTCACAGAAGTCACAGCCCAGTGGGGTGCAGAGCCAGAGGGGAGGTACGGGGAACAGGGCAAAAGCACAGGTCGGTCTCTGGGCTGGAGGTGGGGGCGTCGAGGCTTGTGGGGGCTCTGGGCCACCCTGGGGCAAACTGCCCACCAGCGGCCGGAAACGGATGGTCTAGCCATCAGAGTCCTCCTATCCCTCGTGTGCAAGCCACCTCCCCCCCACCCCCCGCCTCCTGCCTGCTCGTCTCCGGACCCTTGGTCGGAAAGTGGCCGCCCGCTTCTATGGCAAGGGTGCCTGATGGGTCTCGATGTGCCTGCCTGGTCCCCTTCCAATGCTGTTCGACCACCACCATGACCCAGGTTTTTCCGGAAGCGCTATTTCCGTGTCCCCGCTCCGGCTCCCTGACTGTCCCTTCAGGCCACGGGAGATTTCGTCTGACTCCGTGTTCCATTTCCCCCTCGCTGACGGGTGGGGATGGCTTCCTTCCTTCAGCCGGGACCCAGGGCTGTGCTGGCCTGAGACTCAGAGGGACAGATCTGGGTCTGAGGGAGGTGAGGGTCGCTTCTGCCAGACCAGACACCCTTCCCGAGAGACCGGGTGTTTCACGCACAGAAGCCGGGGTGGGGGGAGGGTCGATGGTCCCCAGAACGGTCAAGGTTGGTGTGTGCGTTTGTTCACCTGTGGGTGTGAGTGTGTGTGAATAAAATTAATCAGGGATAATGTCCCTGGGGGGAGAGCGGTGTGAGTCAGGGAGTAAAGGGGGGAGACTGTGGTCAAGAACCGGTAAGATACTGAATGAGCAGAAGCAAGGGGCGGATCTACCTTTCAGGGGGTGCTGTTACATTCCCTCATCAGGAGGGGACTGTCGTGGAAGTCCCCAGACCCCGGACAGGGTGCGGGGATGCTCAATTGGGAGCCCGCAGAGGAGGCTGTGGATCCGACTCTGTGATCCTCTGAGCTCTGAGCCCTCCCGTGTGTGTTGAAGGAAGGACAGTGGCAGGGAAGGCTGCCTCAGAGGGGCTGGCGCAGGCCTCATCTTAGCAGCAGGGAGCTTGTTCAGGAGACTGCTCTGCCAGGAGCTAACGGGGACAGGGGCAGGATGGGCGCAGTGAGGATGGGAAGTAGAGAGTGGCTTCCCCATGGAAAATTGGGCCGACCTGGTTCCCCACACACCCCCCCCTTCTCAGCCTGCCTTCCTCGGGGCCCTGTGCCATGAACTCAGGTGGCCAGACCATCCCGCACGGGGTGGGACAAGCACAGAGCTCAGCCTGGAAAAGGACATTCGTGGGACTCAATCCTTCCCCTCCAAACCCCTCACTTGAGAAGGTGGGCTTGGATGCTGAGGCTCCAGCCTTCACCTGGACCCTGTGGTTCTCTCTTGGCGGGGTATCATGGCGCGCTGTGGTCTGACTGAATGTGTTTGGGAGAGACCTTCAGCCGGGGTGTCCGCGGGCAGACAGGCGGGCAAGTTGTGACTGGGGAGAAGTCCAGCACCCACACCCCCCAGGGACCACAGAGCCATGGTGGCCAGCGTGAGGAAGGGGAGAAGGGGACCGGGGAGGACATGATCGCAATCTTGGCTGACCAGTTTTGCTGGCCTCCCTTCCCTCCTCTGAGCACATGATCCCGGTCGCATATTCAGACCAAGC